GGATTTTGTACTGTATATTTAATTTTAAAATAAAATTTGTCTGCTGAAACTCTTTTACTTACATAAAAAGAGTACTGGATCCCCTCTCCAGCACTGAGCAGGTAAATAGGAAATAGAAATTACTTGTGTAATAGAAAACAGATTCGAGGCTATGGGAGGCAGAATAGAGGCGGTGGAAAATAAAGTTAGAGAAATTGAAGAATGATTTTCTTCTGCCAAAGAACAAATAGAAGAGATAGTTTCTGCTGTATAACAACAAATCGAAGAAAGTATCTGGCATCCAACAGCAAATTGTACGACAAATTGATGACAGGGTTTCTTTGGTTGCTGAAGAAGTTTACGCTTAAAGAAACGCCTAGCGACAGCAGGAAGCAGTTCTGATGGTTTTAAATGTTTACCTATGCTTTCTCGTCCCTCTCTGAAGCTATCCACGTGTGATGGTAAGATCTCCTGGCAAGTTATAAGACGAGGTCCCCAAGCTAAGGCCGGTCATCTTGCCCCTTCTCCGAGAGCAGATGCATTGGATTTACTTCAAACTCTTCCCAAAAACCAGAGGCTAGAATTCGAAGCTCTATCTGGCACTTTAGAGCTGTGCTTTAGGGAGAAGTGTGTAAAGGATGATAGCAGGCTTCAGTTAAAATCCCATAAAACAGAAGCCCATGAAAATACTCCAGAAACTTGCTACTGATATTGAAAAACTGTCTCTTTTTTACTTTTCAGAATGCCCGACAGTAAGGAGGGAAGTCCTGTCCCTACAGTGTGTTATCAATGGCATCTAGGATCCTAAAATAGAAAAAGCTCTGCAAATAGCAGATCTTAAGGATTTAAAAAGCACTCAAGTATGTGATGTGAAATTTTTGACAGCCCAGCATGCAACTCATAGAGACAGCCATTCAATCAAAGCTGCTTAAGTCCAGGAGCCTGTAGATCAGATGGTTGCTTGTCTAGATGATTTAGCCAGACAAGTCAGTACCTTGAGATGGAGTAGTAACAAACTTACCATAAAGTGCTGGAACTGCAGTGCTGAAGGCAACTTATGAAGAAACTGCAGAACACCCCAGGGTACAGAACATAATACTACTCCCTAGCAGGGCTGCAAGAAACTGATTAGTGGCTATCTGGCAGAATGGAGTTTGCTAGATAATGAAAACATCCATTTTAAAGCACTTCAGATTTCTGCAATGAATGGCAGCAATAATGGACTCTTCATCGCCAAGACATATCAATGAAGTTACTTGCAATATGGGTATTGATACAGGAACCAGTGTTACCATCATCCAAAAAGATCTGGTTCAGGTAAACTCATTGGGAAGTTGACCTGTGTTACCCTTCAAACTTCGTCAGGGCATTAAATTGACATTGATGAAAAATTAAACTTTTAACATCATGTCTGGAAAGGCCACCTATTATTATACAGAATGTGTAGCAAATATTGCAGACCCTTGCATACTCGAATCAGACTTTCTGTGGAAATAACAATTTTTCCCTCGACTCTAAAAATTCATTCTGCCTCGGACATAACCCTATTCGTAATTAATGATAAAGGAGTTAATTATGCCCACCAAATCATAGCTCAAGATGATATTCCAGTACCAGCAAGAATAGAATTTTTACTGGATCTATAGATGAAAACAGAAATTTCCGGTATGGTGTAATGGAATATCCCAAGAACTGTAACACACCATGAGGGGTACTAGTAACCTCGACACTTGTCGACTTATTGAAGACAGTTATCCCGTAGAGAATTGTTAATGTCAGTAATAAACCAGTCTTTGCCAAAGGTGTGTTTTACGGATCCAGAAAAATTGTCAGCAGTGAAAGATTAGAGTTGCCCTGAAAATGTCCATCAGCTGAGAAGTTTCCCGAGGCTTTATACCTACTATAGGAGATTTATAAAGGACTTTTTTTCCATTGTAAGACCTTTTCCCAAGCTGACAGAGAACAATCAAAAGTTCCTGTGGTCAAAAGAAGTGAGGATGCATTTAACAAACTGAAAGAAACTTTTACATCTGCGACAATCCTGATGTATACTAAGCTAAAAAAACACATTTATTCTTGATACAGATGTGAGCAATGAGAGTGTTAGTGCTGTTTTGTCCTAAGAAATAAATAGTCAAAAACATGTCATGGTATACTGGAGCAACTGTCTGTCTGAATTGGAGAGGAATTACTATATCACCAGGAAAGAGTTGCTTGCCATAGTTAACGCTATAGAACATTTCCATCGTTATCTCTACCGCAGAAAATTCCTGCTCAGCATGGATCATGCATCATTGATCTAGCTCTTAAATTACAAGAATCCTGAATGTAGTAGACATGTGGATACAGAGACTGCAGGAATATAACATCAATATCCATCATTGGCAGGGATCATCATATGGAAATGCTGATGCCCTGTCTAGAAAGCCCTGCCCAGAAAACTGCTGATATTGTTCCAAGGTCAAAGTGAAAAATGAACTACTTAAGCCAGTCCTACGTGAAGTTACAAATCCAACATCATGAGACCTAGACCCATGGAGAGATGTAGAAGTCAGGAAAGACCAGTTGGAAGATGCTGACATTGAACCCATAATTGAATTTAAGGAGTCTTCAAACAGGAAACCTACCTGGCAAGACATTTCCATCTTTATTCCTACGAGAAAACAATATTGGGCTGTCTGGGACTCTTTCCATATTCAAAATGGTTTCTTGTACAGGAAGTCTGAATCTGTTGAAAGGGCATTCTGATGGCAGCTGATACTTCTAAGATCCTAGATCTCAGACATCCTTAAAAAATTAGCAGTCCAATGAGAAGCCACTTCAGAATAATGAAGACATTGCAAAGAGTTCAAGAGCTTTTCTACTGGAGAATTGCAAGGGATAACAAGCAAAAGTGGTGCCAGTCTTGCGATACCTGTGTGGGTCGGAGAGGACCGAAGAAACGCAGTTGAGGGAAGATGCAATTTTACAGTGTAGGCGGGGCTTTTGAATGCATTGCCTTTGACATCCTGAGACCTCTGCCATGAACTGCTGGTGACAACAAATACATCGTAATTGTCATTGATTACTTCAGCAACTGGTCTGAAGCTTATCCTATTTCTGATTAAGAGGCTGGGGCAGTAGTAGCAAAGGTAATGATACGGCATTGGATTTCCAGGTTTGGAGTGCCTCTTCAGTCATTCTGATCAAAGAACAAATTTTGCATTGGCTGTTATTAAAGGTCTCTGGAAGCTACTCAGCATCAATAAAGCCCAAACGACATCTTTACATATCCCCTGTCAGACAGCATGGTAGCAAGGTTTAATCAAGCTGTCCTTAGTAATTTCTCGCTGGTGGTTTCCAGAAACCAACAGGACTGGTACAAGAAGTTACATCTGTTTTTACTGGCCTACTGCAGTACTGTCTATGAGACTACCAGCTACTCCTTATCCCTGATGCTTTTTGGTCATGACCTCTTCTGCCTTGAGATCTCTTGTTTGGTCATACTCTGGATGCACTTTTATTACCTAAGAAGTACATTCAAGATCTCCAGGCATAGTTTGATGTGATGCACGATTTCACTTGAGAGTGAGTCAACTTTGCGGCAGTGAAGATGAAGACTGAATTTGGTTGGTTTAACCTGATGATGCAAAAATTGTCTTGATTGTAGATACTGTTCGGCTCATATTTCACTTAAAGTTTTAATGAAAGATAATGTATCCATATTATTCTTTCCTCCAAACTGTACTTCCATCATTCAGCCTATGAATATCAGACTAGTGTGTGCACTAAAATGCAAATATAAAGTAGCATTTTTAAAATCCATGTTAAATTTCTTGAATTATGGCAAGACTGTTCAAGAATTTTTTTAATATTTTATCATAAAATCTGCTGTGTGGAGTGTTGCAAGATTGGGAGAATATGCCTCCAGATACTTAAAAAAATGCTTGGCATAATTTATGGCCAGTTACCATATTTCATGGTGACGATGAAGATTATAGCCATGAATTTTCATACTTTCGGATATCGTAAACCACAGGTGAAATTTTTGAATTAATGGATTTTGTAACGAAATGTGGAGAAGCAGTAATAAATGAAAATTATATAACAGAAGTTTTGAAAACAAAAAAATTTCGATTGAGAAGTTAGTGGGAATTCTCAACGTGGCAACTACAGGACTTGAACAGTGGAACTTTGTAACTGAACAGGAAATTATGTCTGTCTATAGAGGTGAAGAAAAAGAATTAGCACAAAAAACAAAGCAACTTAAACAATTTATATTCAAAGAAATGTTTACTAAAGTAAGCAAATAAATATTAAGTTTTTTTTTTTTTTTTTTTTGTAAATTTGATAACCTTTAGATCATAAATCACAATTCATTTTATATCTATTTTGCCATCATGATTTCATATTTTAATTTTGTAACTTCTATGTGCTATTTATACTTTATTGTGATATAATATCCCGAATCCCAATGAGTTTCTCCCTCAGATTCTTTGTACTGTATATTACAAATGAATATTTTAAATTTTAAAAAACAGGATGTATTCCTATTAAAAATAATTCATTTTTATAATATTTATCTTTGTCATAACATTTTGGATGAATTCTCATAACATTTGGATCAAACTGTGTCCATGAACTCAATTAACATTTGAAGGCTGTTGTTGATTATGAAACTCAATTTGTACTTGAAGACTATTCTCAAAATGGTTCAGTGTTTTTTTATATAAATTGGAGCAAGTGCTATTGCAGCAAGCTCCCTGTTCTCCATGCTATAGTTCCAATTATCTGTCATATTAATTCCATGCGTAGCTTACCAGTCCTTATTTATTGTATTTCTCAAGCTGTTAGGATGCTTCTATGCTTGTTAGATTCTTCTGTATTGTTTTTGAAGGAAAATTAACATATATAAGTATTCATAGTTTTATGTGTAGCTATAAAATATTATAATTATATAATTCCATAATGTATTTGTTATGATGCTGTTAAACTAATTACTTAATAATTGAAATAAAATTGTTTTATTTTCTGCTTGCCAGGCAACTAGGTGTAGAGGAAGCTGTGAGACAGAAAAAGGAAGAAGATGCTAGCTCAGCAGAAAGGCGAATTCTACTAATTGAACAAGAGAATGCTAGTTACAAGTAAAATATTTTATATTAAATAATATATTTGTGGGTCAAATATGCTATATAATATCAAATATGCCTAAAAATTCTGATTTAATAGATTTTTTTCCTCCCCTCAGATATCAGGTTGCTAGTATGAAACAAGAAATGGAGGAGACTGAAAGAAATTTAAAAAGTCAGGTATGTTTGTTATTTTTTTTTCTCCTCCTTTATATAGGAAGTTAAATGGAAAGCCATTATTTAATTTTACTGATTTCTGATGCTGAAAATTTCTGAGACCAGCAATTTCTGATTCTGGAAATTTGTTCGTTCTGCTAATCTATTTATATAGACCTGTTTTTGTATCTAGGAAGGTAGTTGGATAAAAGGGATGTAAATTAGAGAAGTTGAATGAAAAAACCATTATATATATTTTACTGAAATGAATTAGTGATAAAATCTTAATCTTCTTGGAATTTTATGTATTCATCTTTTGAACCTGATTAAAATATATAGAACAATTAATAGCATTTCCTACAGATAAAAATGCATTTTTTAAGCACAGCAATATTTTTTAAGACTGCCTTTAAAAAGCCATTTTTGGGTGTTAAATTTAAAAGAAATCTTGCTTTGTATCACACATGAATGCATATCAAATATGCATTGACCTTGAATATTTATATACATATATGCACATACAGTATGAGAATGCATGTGCTTTTGGACAGTGGCTCACATTTTTCTTCGGATACTTGTATTTTTTAACTTTATTTACGTAGGTCTTGCACTAAATATTGAAACACCATTTTTTTCTTAATAGATTGATTTTTGTCTATTTTAAGCCTCACTTAGTACCAAAAAAAAAAAATATTAATGAAATATTTCTCATAATAAATTAATTTATTAAAAAAGTGTTAAACAGTAACTCACATAATAATTTGGACACTCAAAAGTTTTGTTAAGATGTCTCTGTAGATGATGTTTCTTGTTATAATTTTTTGTTGTAAATGAAATACAATATAAGAATTTTAATCTGCACTTGGAAATGATTACTTAAAAAAATATGTCAATAGTTCTATATCTAAACTTAAAATGGCAAGACATTGCAGATTTATGATAAGTTCTATTAGAAATTTAAAAATTCATCATTTCAAAGATGATAAAGTATATAAAATATCCAACACAGTTCCTGATATAAAAAGTTCAACAATCTTTGATGTTGTAAAACAATGGCATTGTATGAAACTGTTGAAAGTGCACTAAAGTTTGAATCACACTATAAACTAACATGAAGAAATCAGAAATTTATCGTACAAAAAATTGAACAACACATAAAAATTAGTGTTCTAAAATTTGCAAGGGGTTTAGAAGAGTTTTCAAGAAATGTTAATATTGAAAGTGTTAGTACAATCATTAGGGAGCATAGCTACTGTGCAATCAGCGAGAAGGAAATTTTTCATCAGCAAGAAAACAAGGCAAGTGTCTGACATTCGCTGAATTCATGGTAAGAAAAAGATTTATCATATTCTAGCATTGTTATATTTGCAGAAGAGTCAGGATTTAATGTATTTCTATCCAGTGCACGGATTGCTGCATGGTGAAAGCCTAGTAAAGAAATGAATTGGAAAAACCTCTTGTTTACTGTTTAGCATGATGGTGGGGGCATAATGTTTTGGGGATGTTTCACTGCTTTGGGGATATAAAATTTTAGTTTTTTGTAGTAGATAATAATGTTTTTAAATATATAAAAATTTAAAAAAAAAAAAAAAAAAAAAAAAAAAACTTGGAATACAAAAATACATTCGAGTTCTATCAAGGCTCCGTGTTTAGGATTTAAGATAAAGATCCTAAACATACAATCTAAATGTTTGCTTGTAATAATTATGCAACTGTCCTAAAGTTATCAAAATTCTTCTGTATTCTCTGGATTTAAATCCCATAGAACTTGTATGGAGGGTGTTGGAAAAAAGAATAAGAAAACATGACATTTCTTCAAAAGCTCTCCTAAAAGGAGTTTGAATGAAGGAACAAAACATTACTTAAATCTATTACGAAGCACATTTCAATGAAATATTAAATATACCATTATTTTCATACTTTTATCTATAAAGAAGAAAGTCTGTGTGTTTGTCCTCTTATAACTCAGTCACTACTAAAACTATCGTCGACAAACTTTCGATTCTTTTCTGGTAAAAGGTCAACGTCCACTTTAAAAAAAAAAAAAAACAAAAGGAAAATTAAGATTAAAAAAACTCAGAAAAACAATAATTTCCGCCCTCATTTTTTCTGAGTAACAATATTTAGAAGTAGCAGTCTCACAAGCTGGAGATGAAAATCTGCTTTATTTCGAAAGTTGTTGCCACTGCTCGCTTTCAAATCCTACAGTTAATAAAAACATTTCCAATTTTTACGATAAAATAAAAATAGCATTGCCGAACATTAAATATATTCCGGATTCCAAAAATTCGTGGAAAGCTATTTCGACTATTCCCATCTTCTTATGACTTTAATCAGCTGAAATATTAATTAAAAATCTAAAAGCGCTAATTTACTTCCTTTTACGAAGTAAAAAGGAAGTATTGTAATCGCGACAAGCTTCAGGCAGCATATTTCAACGAAAATATCCACTTTCACCGCTTTCGAATGCAATTTAACGATGTTTTTGCGTGATATCTGTACATAAGGATAGAATAAAAGACTCTTTTCCTCAAAAAAAAAGTAAAAAACTGCTTTAAAATGAATTCTGAAGAGAATTTTCTGTACGAACGTATGTACATACGTATCTCACATAACTCAAAAACGAGTAGCGTCAGAATGTTGAAATTTTGTATATAAGACTACTATAACATGTAGATGTGCACTTTGTATTTTGGTTTCAATCGGCCGGGCCAAACGTATATAAATACATTTATAAATATATCCACTCTGTTACCCGGCTCAGTGATCTCAGTTTCTTTACTCTTATATGTTTTCAAATTGTACGTTTTTTGCTTTAAAAAGGATTGAATTATGTTGTTTTTATCTTCCAGTTAAGGGTTTTATGCCTTTAGTAAATCTGTATGCAATATTTTTAGAATTATCAACAATTTTTAAATTGTTTAAGTGCTGCTAAGCCTAATTTTTTTGATGGCGGCCATGCTCTTGTTTACATTTGAAACAGCTGAGTAGCAAAATTTGTTGCCAATCTAGAGAACTTAGCTTCAAACAACAAAGATAACGCCTTCATTTATTATTGTGAATTAAATCATGCTTAATCCTTTCTGGAATTTTTTCGAGGAAACAATAAGTGTTTTAAGGTTTACTTCGTAATTTTTAATACAGATATTTTGAGTTTTTATGTATTTTTTACCTTATCGCGAAGTGAGAACTGAATTAATTGAATGAGAATACTCAATCGTCTGTGAAAACTGTTTCTTTTTGTTTTGTTGCTTAATTTTTTTATACATAGTTCTAGCTTTATTATAATTTTGAATAGAACATGTGGCAACGATTAGATAATTCTTTAAATGATGTAAATTTGTGGCTTTCTGAGTTATAATATGAACGAAATAAATACTGTTAAGTAACCTAGCGCCAGAGTGTCGCTATGGTAAACAAAATAGAATTTTAAAGAATGCATTTATTATATTGTGGTTTATGCGATGTTGGCGAAGTAGGTTTAATTCAATCTAATAAGTTTAAATGAAATGCAAGAAAAAATGCGTATAATTTAATATTCCGTACAAGGAAATCATGTGGTGTACACATCAGATTTTTTTTTTTTTTTTAAGTATTTTATGTGTCGTATATTGATAAAAACCAGGGGGGGAAAAAAAAATCTTCATCTGTGATCCACATCTCTTGCACTTCATTGAAGAAGCAATTAGCGAGGTTCCTCCAAAATTTAAAATACATTTCCTCTGACCCTTGTAACAATAATAAATCTTTGATTAGGAAAGCCAGGTTGACCAAAATAAGGTCTCAGGACAGCCATTGATTCCGATACCAATAATTCTTGGAACTTACCAATAACAACATTCATCTTCGAAACGAACATATCCATTCGTTTTGAAGTTTAAGGAATTCGAGGAGATGAATAATAAAATTTTAAAATGCCGTGGTAATTCACAAATATTCTGTAACCAATCAGGGAGCTTATTACATCACCCATAGAATTAAAGTTATTTAAATAATCATACATAATAAAATCATTTTTTAATAATGCAAAATTAAATTGTATTTTAATATTTAAGCCATAAATAATGTTTAAAAATAAAACATTATAGATTAAAACCATTACTTTTAAATATGTGATGTCGTATTACATCATTCACAACATAAAATTCCATAAAATATCATAAACAATAAAATTTTTTATTTCAAATAAAATGCAAAATTAATTCATTTTTATTATTTAGAAGTCATAATCATATTTAAAACACGGAATTTATGCATAATAAAACGCATTATTTTTTTAATAAAATGACAACAAAATATCGGTTACCATAAATAACTTGTCCAGCAATGGGTTTACCATAAGTTGTATCGCTTGCGGAAAAAAAAAATCACCAAAATCCGTGCAACCGTCTACCAAAGTAGTACCAAATCAAAACCATATTTTCTGCGAAATCCAAGAAAAGCTGGGCAAAGAAATAAATTTCAGTTTCTATCTATTATAAGCCCTTATTATTATTAGCAAATAGCAGACACATTGTGAAAATTATTAACCAGTTAGAAAACAGCTGCTGAATTGCTGTCACATTCTTGGAAGAAGATGAGACAAAGCTGGAAATTATCAAGCAAGATGAGCTGTGTTGGTATTTCGAGTATATTGGAAGAGGAAGAAATGAAGAGATTAATTTGTATGAAAATAACTTTTACAATATGTTTCAACAAAATAGGAGATGCAGGGAGAGGAATGAGGGATTATGCAAGCTCCAACTCCAACTTGCTTTATTTGCCGCGATTAACTTGCGAAATTGCAGGTTGTGTTCCGGCTCTCGAACTTTGGTGCTTCTAGGAGCACTGCAGGTAAGGAAATGCCGAACGTAGTTCTCATGGAGACAGGATAACAGATGCAGGGGGTGTGACCAATGTCACGTGATGAGCAATAAGACATCTGGTTGGCGATGAGGTATCCAGGCATCATAGCGCTGTAAATCTGAAGTTTTACAATAGTTATACATAAAATAGTACTAAATCAGTTCATAAAAGGTGTGTGTTGCAGTCATAAATGCAGAAAATAAAATACGATTCCAAAAAGTAAAATAGTATATACAGGAAAAATATAAGTAATATCTTGTGGGCATGGCTGTGTGTGTCACATGATCATTCGGCTAAGATTTCTAAAACATCATTATTTACAAGTCAAATAAGTTTTTCAGAGTACTACATACTTAAAAACACAAATTATGTTGGAAAATCCTGGTTTCCACTGAGTAGAAAAGCGGCATATGGACGGAGGTGCCTGTCCTCGTGTAAAATTTCATAGTGAAATAGGTTGAAAATGTCCATATGTTGGCACTTCTTAGTGGCGTCATAAAATGCCATGTTAGTTCTTCTTAAATATTCCACTATTGTAGATTATGCAAGCTTTTGCCTCATAATTAATTATACCTGATTAATTGAATATACATTCATTGTGAAATAAAATTAAGAAATATTTACTGCTAATTTGAAAAAAAAATTTGCTGAAGGTAATAGCATTTGACAGGAAGAGTATGATGAGAGTGAAGCTGCTGATGTATTTAAAATTATATTTCAGTTCTTGAATAAATTAGCTAATTTTCAAAATTTTCTTCTCACAGATAGCAGCTCAAGAAAAGAAAGCTCATGAAAATTGGGTGAGTTTAACTTTATGTTCTATTGGTAATTTATGTTCATTATTCTAATTCTTGTTTTTTAAAATAAAATATTCATCATTGTGTAAGTTATTTCACTATTAATAGTAGTACTGTTTTGTTGATATTTTTATCTTTTTCAAACTTTATTTATAGAAGTATTAAAAAGAATAATTTAAAACTATATTGATTTTATTAAACATAGTTTATAGATATATTTATTAAACCATATTATGAAAATTATTTCTAATCGATTACTATGAATATTGAAAGCTTTATGACATGAATTAATAAATGTTTTAACATATGAGTTGAGATAATTTGGCAGTTTTGTTTGGATACCTTTGTTCAGAATTGCCTGTATCATTGTAGTTAATTTGTTTGTTTCAGCAGTTTTATAATGTGAAATTTTACTTATTCATTTATTTTTATGTAATTTCGACACATAGTTCACTTTCAAAAAGAAAACAAAATATTGACTTCAAAAATTAAAAAAATAAATGACAATTCTAATGCTGTGAAAAGTAATTCATAGGCATGACTTTAGCATTTATTAAAAACATAAACACATGTACATCATAGATAGGACAATTATAGACACAATACAAAAATTTTTATATCAAGAAAACTGGACTAACTGATGTTGCTTAAATGGGCAAATAAATTATTTTTTCTCCTTGTTGGTTCCATTCTTAGACAAAAAGATATCACATGCTAATTACAAATGCCTCAATTATCATAATCGAAAATTTTGATTTCATTTTAAACATTTAAATAATTTCAAATTCCCAAAGTGAAATTTAACTCATGAAATCCAGTTAAAAAATCTGACTTATCAGTGCCCCCCACACCAGTTTAAATTTTCAGTTATTGTGGCTAGTAAGAAATTAGTAAGAACTAATTTAATTATTTGCCCTAATATCCCTCTTTTTTACATGTATCAGATTTGTTTTATTTACTAGGCAAGATTAGAACTATGTTAAATGTAACAAAACTAGTGAATGTGTTAAAAATTGAGAACATATATTTATTCAGAGTTTTAACAAAATAATAATTTTTATGGTACATTTTACATATTATATGATGAGTAAATTATTAAGGTATGGAAATGAACTCTCGTTAGGATAAATGTAGTAATGAAATTATTTAAAAAAAACTATGACTTCTATTTTAGAGCACACTTTGTATTCAGACTTTTATAACATAAAATTACAATTTAAATTTAAAGCAAATAATTTAGTAATTTATTTCTCATTAAGTTAGCTACCATATTATTATATATGTTAATATTTATTTGGGAAAAAAATGTTTCTCCCCCTCCCAAGTATCTGTTAAAGGTTGTTGCTTTGCCTAATTTTATATTTATATTTTTGATGCTATTTTTATTGTTTTCAAATTTTTAAAATCCTATTGGGCTTAAAACTTTAGGGTGGTTTTTTTAAAATATTTTTTCTAATATCTCACTGAAGCTTAAATTTGAAAATAATGTAATAATTACATGCCTCTTTTTCATTAACTTCTTTGTAGATAGCTGCTCGTGCTGCTGAAAGAAAACTAGAGGATGTTAAACAAGAGGTCTTGCAACTGCGCCAACGGTATATTGGCAAAATTTTATACTTCCTGTTGGATCTTTAAAGCTGCTTTGATGGTTGATTTCAAACACTAAATTTACTGTGATGTCAGTTGTACATCCTGATTTTCTTTTCTTTCTCTTAAAGCAAATGTCTCAATATTGTACATACTTTTTTTAAATGTTCGTAATTTCTTACTATTTTCCAGATTCAGAAATCACCACCAAAGCATCAAATTTTCTCTGTTTTTCTTTATTTTTAAGGCTTTGTAATTTAGTCTTCCCTCTTTTAAACAAATGTAAGCAAAATCCGAACAATCAATGCTTTCTCTCAATAACATATGTAAAATAATTTTAATTATGCAAGAAAAAAGTAAAAGTGAATGGGTCACCAGAAGTTCAGCGTTGGTTGCCACCATAGTCCCACCACACTATTTCACCGCAGTGAATGTATGCGTTCAAAATATTCATGAATTTCACCATAGTCTCACCACACTAATTATGCAGATCCACTCCAATTTTGAGTGAGAACACTCTGGGAAGTAGCCTGAGGAGCTCCCAGCCTTCTTACCCTACCATCAACCTCTCAAGAAGACTTTTAGTTCACCCTGTATTTTGAATGCCCCCTGGCTGCACAAACACTATATGCTTACAAACATTCCATGTCTTCTCTGAGATTCAAACCCTGGTCCACTGATATGCCAGTCAGTGTCTCTAACCATTATAGCAGCTGAGAAGCATAATATAATTAGCCAGTACACTTTTTGGACTCTTACTTTAAGAAGCAAAATAAAAATACATTTGAATTTTAAATACTTTTCTTATTTTAGATTAACGCTGCTAGAAAGAGACCAGGAAAACTGGGTCAATTCTTCCAGAGATAATATAATAAGACCAGTACCTAAGAGTAAGTAATCGACTATTTCAGTAACTTACAATTTTTGTTTGTTGTTCAAAACTAATATTTGTTAGTTTTCCATTATTTTTTTTCTTCCAGTTGTTGATTATTAATACATATCTTACCAACACTGTATAAAAAACAGGAATTCTAAAGAATGCTTGTGCAATATATATATATATAATGCCCTGCATTCTTGGGCAAAGTATGAAATATGTGAATTATTTTCTATATTAGATATACTTTCCCTATGCATATGTTATATCTTGGCATTATATAGAATAATGAATACTATTTAAGCAAAGTAATACAGTACAAAGTCTTTAATCCGGACTCGTCGGGACTTCAGCAATTCCAGATTAGGGGTTTTTCCAGATTATAGATCATCAATTTAAATCTGGTAAGATGGCATGCAGGAATTATAAAACTAAAAAATATGAATCAAATTTATGAAATAAAGAGCAATTATGATCTAAAAGGTATCAAATTTACAAAAAAAAAAAAAAAAAAAAAAAAAAAAAAAAAAGGATAAATATTTATTTGTTTACTTTATTAAACATTTCTCTCAATGTAAGTTGTTTAAGTTGCTTCATTTTTTGTGCTAATACTTTCTCTTTAATTCTATAAACGACATAATTTCTTGTTCAGTTCCACTGTTCAAGTCCTGTAATTGCTGCGTCGAGAATACCGACTAACTTGTCAATCGAAATTTTTTCGTTTTCAAATACCTCTCTGTTACTTTCTTCACTATCGGAAGTGGTACATCGAAACATGCTTTCGCTTTGTAGATCCTTTGGCAGCTCCAGAATCAGAAACTCTTTTTGACATAATTGAAATTTCAAGCTTACTTTTTATAAAATTGCTCTTACAGTCTGCAAAAAATAATAAGCCGGATCCAATTAGAAGATTTAGGAAAAACGCAATCTGCAACATTAACTGAAATAGATAATTTTAGCCTAGCTTATACCATCCATTATACATTAAATGTGCATGCGTAAATGCAATTTGCATTTGTTTACGCATGTGCAGAAAGTTTGTAGCTTTGAGGTCTGGATTATAAATCATTCCAGATTATGGACGTCCGGATTAAAGACTATGTACTGTATTATAAGAAAGTCATGAAAAGGTTTTTATTGAAAAGATGTACATTTTATAGACTGAGAAATTGTACTTAAGCAGAATAATAAAAGAATGCAATGAAAAGTCTTACTGAAGAGATGTATGTGAAATGAATGAAATACAAAATAAAGTTAAGGACTTTCTTATCGAGGAAAACAAAAGAATAGTCTCATGGTTCCTTCTACGTTGTTTCTTGGCCTTTGTCTGGTTGCTTACTAACTTTCAGTTAGCAAAACACTGTTTTTTTACAAAACAGGCTCACCCTGTAGACATTCATCATAGAATCGAAGTTACATGTTAACATTATGTAATTCGTTTTCTATTACTACACTTTCTTTTTTGTTCTCCTACTGCACAATATGGGCTAGAGCCTCTGCTAAACAAACTCGAAGTAGCATATTTATCCTCTTCCTAACAAAGGCTGACATGCTAATGGGAGATTCTGCATCTGAGGCTAATGTTGAAAGTGATATGTTTTGCCACGTGGGATTAGAAACATTATTAGTGGGAGCATTTTCTACTTTGGCAGTTTGTTCTTTTGACATTGCAGAGAATACCTTGGAAATGCATAATCATAACATTTTGATGTCTAGTGTTTGGCATTCTGTATATTATTTAGGAATTCTAAACAACTCTGCTTTTATACATTGCCAGTAACATATAAAATGCATTTTTTCGTAATTTTTTAGATTTACAAACAAACTATTTTGTTAATTTTGTATATATGCAATACATATGTTTTAGGCTTCAAACATATTTTTGGTACACTTCTGTTTATGTGTAACTTATTATGAAAATCCGATTTTTATTGATAAGATTTCACTACAAAAATTCAGAAATAGCTGTAAATCTACATGTAAGCTGAATTTAAAATCACCCTATAAATCCTGGTGTGGCCAAAGTGTTAATAATTGGTCATCTAAAAAGAGCTGCTGGTAAATAGTTCATCTTAATCTATTGTATGAAAAATAGCTGTAACAGCATTATAGGAGGTAGGATTCAAAGGTTCACGGACAGAGTCTATAACATAAAAAATATTATGCTGCTGGTAAATAGTTCATCTTAATCTATTGTTTGAAAAATAGCTGTAACTGCATTATAGGAGGTAGGATTCAAAGGTTCATGGACAGTCTATAACATAAAAAATATTATGAATTAAATTGCAGAAACATATCCTCCTTCGGAATAAGACCCTTGTGCAACAACACACTTTTGCCAGAGCCTGTATAGTTCATCGAAGCATGTCTGGAATCCATTTTTGGCCATGTCCTTTGATTCAGCCTGCAATGCATATTGAACTTCATCTGAAGATTGAAATCGACGATCTTGCGAGCATCTTGCCAGTTCAGGAAATAGGAAGAAATCGCAGGGTGCGAGATTAAATGAGTAAGGACACAGTTGCAAGCAAACAGTTGTTTTCATTTTTGCAAGAAAGTCATTGATGGGTAGGGATCGTTGAGCAGGAGCGTTGTCATTCAACAGCACCCATGACTGTTCAGCCCACCTTCCAGATCGACTCATGCAAACAGTGCAGGATTTTGACGAAGAGTTCTTTGTTCACAGTGCGTCCTTCAGGGATAAATTCCAGATGCACAATGCCCTGGATATCGAAAAATACCTCTAGCATGACCCTTTCCTTTAGAGCAGAATTTCTGCTTCTGTGGAGATTGTGGTGATTTCCACGTTGCCGATACTCTCTTGGTCTGCATGCAGGTTGTACATAAAATACCATTTCTAATCTCCAGTAATAATTCTGCCAAGTAGGGAAGGATCTTTGTCAACAGCCGAAATTAAGTCTCCTGCCATTTCCATTTGAATTCCCTTTTGCTCTACGTTTAATATGTGGAAAACTATGTGTTCACACACCCTATGCATGTTAAGATCCTTAGTCAGTATCTGCAGACATGTGGCCTCTGATATCCCAACTGATTCCGCTATTTGGCAAATTGTTTGCTGCCTGTTTGCACGTACTGCCGAAGACACCTTTCTGATGTTTTCATCAGCGTGTGAAGCTACAGGATGGCCACAGCATTTATCGTCTTTGGCACTTTCCCTCCCTTCTCTGAAACGCCGATGCCACTCAAAAGCTTGTGTTCTCAATTACGTCTCACTTCCATACACATGCTTCAACATTTCAAAAGTCCTTGTTGCACTCTTTCCCAAGCGAACACAAAATTTGATATTGATTGTTTGCTCAACTGACACCATTTCTTTCTATGCCTGGTTACTAAATGCAGCTGCCTACAAAAAATGCTGTCGCCGTGAGCTTTTGACCACATGATTTGGGACAAACACCTCTTAGAAAAGACAGAGAACGTAGTAACACAAAAAAATTCTCATAGTCTCACTACTGCAAAACATTTTTACATTATAGACTCAGTCCGCAAACTTTTTGATCGTACAATGTAGAACGAAGGGCACTTTCGGCACCAGTAGTTTCTTTTCCTAATTTTGAAGCATGTGCATCATTTGGCATTTTGGTAGTAATGCGGCACAAATTTTACTTTTGTTCTCAATTCTAATAGCCATTCTCAAGCAATTAAGAGTAATTTTCCTTTGTACTGAGCATTTGTTTTTATCAGCAAAATGCCTGGCTTAAAAAAAAAAAAAAAAAAAAAAAAAGCTGCAGGACTAAATAAAATTTTTCTATCGTTTAAAATATATTTTTGTGATTGAATTAATTTCATAATAAAGTCATTTTGATTTTAAATCAATTCAATTCAATGTAAGAGTAAGGTATATATTTTATTGTTAAATTTTTGTAAATATTTATGTTTGTAATTGATAAACTTTGTGCTTTATTATCTATGTATTTTGAAGAAAATTGGGCTTTATTTATGTATTTAAAACTCAGAAAACAAGGTCTGCAGGACTACATAAAATTTTTCTATCGTTTAAAATGTATTTTTGTGATTGAATTAATTTCATAATAAAATAATTTTTGTTTTAAATCAAATCAATTCAATTCATAATTTATTTTGATTTTTCAATTCATAATTTATTTTGATATTATTCATTATTCATTTTTCATGTTTTAAATCAATTCAATTCAGTGTAACAGTAAGTTATATATTTTATTGTTAAATATTCGTTATGTTTGTAATTGATAAACTTTGTGCTTTATTATCTATGTATTGAAGAAAATTGGGCTTTATTTATGTATTTAAAACTCAGAAATGATTTTTCCTTTGAAAAGATGTAATTTCAAAAGTTAGCCTGTAATCAGTTTTGTCTTCTTAAAATAGGAATGCCTGGTCTAAATGATGACTTAGCTAGTTCACAGGAAATAAACAGCTCATTAGAAATGAGGCCTAATTTATTTCCGCCGCCTGTGCCACCTCCAATGCTACTGCCGCCTGACAGACCATTGCCTCCATTACCTCCACCACCTTTGCCTCCCTTTTTACCTCCATTGGATCCACCCTTTCGTCCTCAGCCCTGGCATATGCCACCACCAGACACTTTGTCAAACTCAGATTTTCGTGTAACTCCTCCAGAATTTTCTTCAAGAGGAAGAGAATCTACTCCACCCAGAGGTCGTCGCTCTGCAGCTGTTGATGGGGAAATGCGGCCTCATGCTTCTTCGCCTTTAGGAACAGATACAAGAGATTCCCGTAATTCAACTCCGCCACACTCATTACCAGATTTTCATGACATTCCACCACAGCCACCCAGGCCATTCTTTCCCCCTCCAGCACATCATCCAAGATTTTCTATGCCTCCACCATCATTTAGAAGAGATCCAGGTCCTAGAAGAACAGGTTAGTTTGCCATGTCCTTTTTAATTTGAGTTTCTATGCTAGATTGTTTTAAATTGTCTCTAAATACAGTGACATTCAAGCAACCAAAAGCTTTTAAAGTTATAGGGAAAAAAAAATTAAGTATGAGAGATCTGTAATGCCATTTTTCCTCATGTCAGGTTCAGGTATACTTGATTAGTTTGAACAACTAATTTAAATCTAATAAAGTAGGTCTTGTAAATAAGTAAATTCTTCAAGACTTATAATTATTTTGCCGTCTGTTAGACTGTCCGTTGTTCCATTTAATATGCCTTACAACATTTGGATGAATTTATCTATCAAAAAATTCAATAGGTTTATATGCATTGACACTATTAAACTTGACAAGTCTAAATTTTGTATCACTGATACTTATAGAATGTTTCCTAAAGTAAAAACCTTTAGCACTTGGAATTAATAAAAGAACTCTTATGCATTAATTTTTATTAAATTTGCAAATGAAGTATATTTCCAATATAAAATTTATACAAAGTGGTTAATATTTTAATTTTAGCTGGAATTTTCAAAGAAATACACTAAAAATTGTCTTAGTGATGGAGGATTTTGTAATTTCAGCATTCCCTACCAAAAATCTCTATCAGAAATGAGAATTAAAACTTTTTCAAAATATTTTTCAATTATAAAACTTATTGGTCATGACTAATAAGTTAATTATAAAACTTATTGGAATGAATATAATATATTCATACTTACAAATTTAGAAAAATGCATAATTATATACATATTAACACAACTGGAATATTTTTCAGATTACCAAGGAAATAATTCAATGCAACAACCACTTGTGCCTCAAGAACGTTGGCCACATTCAAACTCTAGAGTCTGACCTCTAACATACCTGTGATTTAAGATTCCTAAATTATATATAATACAGTGCAAAAACTTGATTGACATGTTTGGGAAAAACCTCTACTTTAATAAAATTTTATAAATTTAACTTGATTCTTATTTATAGCAGATTACATACTTTTTGAAGGGTATGTTAAAAGTACTTAAAATTTTATGTCAGTTTTTCCCCTGTTTAAATATTTCTTTGTCAATGAAATTATAGTTCCAGGTTGTCAACATGTAAGATAATGAAATTGTAAAATTGTATATTTGAAATAAATATTAGCTCAGATTTTTATTCTATGTTATTTCATACTGACAATTTATTAAAAGAAATTTGCACAATATACTTTTGACATATTTTTAATGTATCGTGCACATTTGCCACTTTGTAGTATGTACAATTTTGATGCTTGTCCATAAACATGTTACATATCAGTCTTTATTGCCTAGCAGATGATCACAAAAATAAAATCTATGCTACAATAATGACTATTCAACATCTTCATCTTGCATGCGTCTGCCAGCTAATGTAGAAACCAGTTTCTGAAAAGAAAATATATATACGAGATTCAAATTTTTATTAAGTATCACTAGATATGGTGTTAATTTTACGAAAGCAATTTTAACAACTAATTGCTGATGTCTAAATATAGTGTGTGAAATGGAAAATACTTTTTAATGGCAACATTGTATGTATTAGCATAATTTAATTTGATTAGAAATATAATGTAGAGAACTTGTAATTACTATAGAAAATAATGCAGAATTAACCAATTGAAACATTTTTATGAATTCCTTTTGTAATATTTCAGTTGCCTTACCAACAAATTCTGTAATTGAGATACTTACTTTTTTAATGAAACTGTGCGATTTCTTCGAATTTTGTTTATAAATATTATTATGAACTGCTTAAAATGAAAATTTTATATAACTCAGTAATGTAAAGTTCTGATTATATTTATACAAAGAAATCACAGTAATAATAATACATTCATATTACTGTTGGTACTCGTAATGAGTGGAAAATAATAAAACTCGTAATGATTTTAATGACTGATTAGATTTAATGATGTCACAAATTATGCAATAGATAATTAACAGAGACAGAATGGCAAAGTAGAGAGCCTCTTAAAAATATTTGACATCAAATTACTATGTGGGAATAATTTTCAAGAAAATTATCAAAGAAATGATTATGAAGTAAGATATAATATTTATAGATTCCTAAGAATTTTCTTTTGGTATATATTTATACGCAAAAGATATGATTTTCTCTGCTACTATCAAATAGGATAGAAAAGAAAAAGGACTGACTATCACCATATATTTTGGTGTATAGTAAGTACAATGTATATACTATACAGCACTTGTTCTCAAACTGTGATACATTACAGTATATTTAGTGGTAGAATTGTTACAGAAAAAATGAAATGAATGTTCAAAAGAATGTAAAATTGCACTCCTTTTAACATTTTGTTTTAATCTTTATTATTCAGAAACACACATTTTTCCAATTTTGGACTTTAATGTTGAAATGACTGCTTTTCCAAGAAAACTAATTTCACATTTACCATTTTTTTTTAAAACAGTCCAATATCTAAAATGTCAAAAAGACAAGAATGTATATATGTTTTAAATGTATCTTGTCAATCCTGGCCATGTGACTCAGGTGTCTTCTTTGCTTTGATATATATATACACTCATAGCATACTTAATATTTTTATTGTAATGTTAAAAGTTTCATTTACGAATATAATTAAATATAAATTTAAAGGGTTTTAAGGGGTATACAAATTTAAAGAGGTTGATATATAGGGATTATCACTATATATTTTGGTATATGGTAATAATCCCTCTATATCAGGGACCATACATACCACAGGATTCTGTAAATAAGATCTTTTTAAAAAACTTTTTATTAATACTTTTCATGACAGTCTGCAAAGCAATGCTTGTCATTTCATCTGTTAACATCAGAAACCTTTCTCTAAACTGATGTTTTTAATTATGTACAAATGCAAACATTTTGTTCTTCAATTTGTATATATAACCTTAAAAATTAAACATCTAAAGTAAATTTGTGTCATAATGCAATCAAATTTTATAATACATATAAACTGCAAAATTAAAGGTTAAAAATTAAACAGAAATTACAGCATATGGATTGGCAACATTCCTTATTTTGACAGGATATTTTTTTTTTTCCTTTTGTAAAAACAGTAACACTTGCAGTAACAGTAACTTTTAAAATATATTGGTAAAAATTTGATATTCTGTTTAAGCAAATAAAAGTTATAGAACATTAATTTGAATAAAAATATTTAAATAAATTTTATACTAACCTGGCTGACAGCAGGTAATCTTTGCATCAACAAGGCAAAAATTTGAGGAGGTAATTGTTGCTCTAAAACATCAATTAAATGTGATGGGTCTCCACAAATAGCCAGTGCTGTACTTAGATGCTCAATACCATTTTCAATGTCACCTATGTGTACATATGTAAAAATTACAGAAATGAAAAGAAATGCTTTAATGTGAAATGAAAAAAGGATTAAATTTTGAAAAATAAATACAATTTACCTTGTCCCAAAAGCTCTTCACCAAGTTGTACTTCTTGAATGAAGAATTTTTGTACAGATTCATAATCTTTTAATTCTGGTATCTAAAACACAGTAATGTATCTCAGTATATTTTTAAGGCTAGAAATCATTTTGTACAGAAAGTTCATAGTTTAGTACAGAATATAAACTGTTTGGGGGGATGTTTGTTTTTATGCTAACAGGGAAAAAAAAAAAAAAAAGTTTTATAAGAAGCACACAGACACATATATATAAATTTAGAAGTACTGATGTAAGAACACTGAGAAGTAGATATGCAGAAAATACTGATAGCAAAGCACGTAGATGGCATACTGAAGAGGAAGAATTCTGACTGCGTAGAATTTTAAATCCTTAATGAGTAGGAAGCTTGGCAGTCAAGGTGGATTAAATTCAATTTTTTATTTTAATTGACATTTGGCCACTATTCACTTGGCACTCTAATCATGCCTATATTTAGAACATTTACATTTTTGATAATGTTGTGATAGCAGCACACTGGGAAAAGCTGAAGTGTGCAGTTATCCAGTATGGAACTCGGCAAGAGGAATGTTTTGGTTTAGGTTAGTTTCAGTTTTTGAAATTTTGAGTTTCGGTTCCGAATCAGCTATGTCATAGCATTATGCAACACGTAAGATAGATTGATCTGGAAATGATGCACTCCAGAAATGTTATATATATATTTTTAAGAATAGAGGAAATACCTGAATTTAAAATGAGGAATTAAGAGACTATTACTAAATTAAATTATAAAGCTGATTTACATATTTTTTATCTTACATATATTTGATGACACACAAATTATGAAAAGTAAAATCTTTTAATTTAAACAGTGCTACAATTTTTAAATAACCTGGTACAGTAATAAAATAATATGTTAAAATTTCAGAATAGGCCCAATTGATATTGATTATTCATAATATCATTATAATTAGAGAAAGCAGAAAGGAAATAATCTTCTAGCACAGAGTTCAAACATAAATTTCAGTCCTGTATACTGTTGGAGGGGAACCTAATTTATTCGCATAAGTGCTGGATGAAGAAAAGCTTTTTTCTCCACCTTGTGCACAATGGAAAATTGGGTACCATAAATTAAGAAGTTTGCCAAGTGAATTCTTGGCACAAACTGGGAAAAAAAAAAAGTGCCAATATAAATTTTTAAATTTCTTACCAAAAATTATAAAATAGCTAGGCATAATTTGAATTATACAATAGAAATATGGGGAAAAATTGATACGTTATTTCAGAAAAAGTCTGATTTCTTGTTCAAAATACCTATGCTAGAACAATCCTACATATATATATCTAATACATATCCAAAGTCACATTTTCGAGACATGAAAAACACAAGTTAAATTTCGACAATTGGTCCAGTAGAACGAGAGATATTAAACTGCCCCCCTTTTTTGTGCAAAGCGTATCTCATAGGTGCAAACTATCTTGAACTAACATCACATCTCACCATAAACCACTGAATCTCCCGTTTCTAATTTTTTTTGTTTTTACTAAGGAAAATGTTTCCGAGCAATAAATGAAATTATTAAATTGAAACTTAAATTGTTCTATTTCCCAACCTACAGTGATTTTTAGTGTAATTTCTTTTATTAATTTTTATGAAAATTTAACGCTGTTTAATTAATATTTGTTTTGTATTACAGCAAGATATGGCACATTACTAAGTTAATCTGCACCACATTTAACATTAATTTTAACATTAAACATATTATTAACATATTACAAACATATTATTAACATAAACATTATTTAAAAGTAATTTAATAAATAACTTTCCATTACTACTCAGAATGTTCCCATAACAAAATTCTATGAAACTTAACAAAATTGAAATTAGCACTTAAACAGAAAATTTAGAGTATCTAATAAAATAATATATTTTACTTCAGAATCCCATTATAAATAGTTAAGTGATCTAATTCATCTATTAGAAGGTGAATTTCACAAAATATCCCAGCTTCTCAAGTTTCAAAGTTGGTAGCACATAACGTTGTACTTAAGTTTCAAAGTTTGTAGTATATAAACTTAATCCAGTCATAAACATAATAAGGGGGAAAATGTATACACCCATCCAGTTTTAAGCCATAATTTAAACAGCATAATGGGGAACAACCGGATATGTATAAAAATAATCTCGTAAAAATGCAATTGTGTAAATAAATACTTCAATAGCTGTAGGCTTTTTAATCATTGAAATTAATTTTTCATCCCACCCAGTCCCATGTTTAAAAGCAATCACCCAAAACTTAAGTTCATGTTTAAAAAATTTGGTTATAAACTTGCCATTATCAAAACCCATTGCATCTGGAAACTTATGATCAGACTAATCAGATGTCACCACAACAGATACTTCAGGTGTTTATGCTATCATTATTCGCAATGAAAATAGAAACACAGAAAATCAATACATCAGTGTCTAAAAAATATACTTATAAATTCTCTGCCAACCAATTCATCAATAAAAATAGCATATCTTTGTTTAAATACTTCTCCAAGTATCCACACTCAGTAACAAATGAGGCAAAATCATTGTCAAACCATGACACAAAAGCAGCATCAAAATTAAAGGAATGCTTGTAATCATTATGAAATTTTCTTGCAATAAAGACCTTTTCTTCAACCATACATCTGAACATAACTGAACACAGCAATTCTATGAAAACCAATAATAAAAAGCTGATAAGACCACCCATTTCAGCTCTAGCTGAAAGCCAACGAGTTATCTGCGATACACATTATTAACGTTACTACTCTTATTTATATTTAAACCAGCTTTCAACATATCAGTCTAGAGAATTTTGTTCCACTTTTTATATTTTCAAGGGGAAGAAAAATAATTATATCAATATACTATTTTTATTTAGTTTTTTAATATGGGATAATCACAAATAGATTATAGAATACAGTATTAAAGCAAAAATATATATATATATTAAAATCTAGAGGAATCGTGCACCCTTAACATCTGTGGTCCTACATTCTTGTTCATAAAGTATGGTAATTCTCTTTACTGCACTGAGATTTTCCTCTTTTTAGACAAATTTCAATCTATCTTAATTTCTGAAAGATTTAAGTGTTTTGTTTATCAAAATCATCACTACTAAAATAGCTTAGTTTTTTAAAAAATATATATATAATATGCTGAATATTATGGTGTATAATGCGCACTTATAATTTCTAACTACATTATTTCATTTTTAGGTATAATCGCTGCATAACGTACACCCTTTTTTTATGAAGAAACATGAAACATACATATGCGATGTTTATTTTTTCAAGTTATTCATTCAAAAAATTTTCCCAGGTTTTCAAACAATGAGTACACTGAACTGACAAGCTTTAAGGGGAATAATATATGAGCGATTGATGTGAAAGCCACAAAATCGGTTTACGTAAACAATAGGTCACAAAATATATCACCTTCCCATAGTGCTTTCTTCTCACTTAGTGGACAGTACAAAAATTAATACCCATGGTTATTTTTAAAAGAAAGTGCTGCAATGTAATTTCCCAAATGGTATTTTCATTCATATTCAAGGGAAAGGATGGATGAATGAGAATGGTACAAAACTGTGGGTAAGAAATGTTTGGCAAAAGTGTCTTAAAGAATCCAGAAGGTCTTTTAGTTTGGGACATGTTCAAGTCCCATCTAACAAATAATACGAAGAAATTATTGAAAGAGTGTAATACAGACATGGCTGTTATTTCAGCCAATTAGTTTAGCCTCTAGTTGTGTGTATTAATAAAACATTCAAAGAAAATTTAAAATGACAGTGAAATAAGTGGGCTTAGAAGGTGAAAAAATGTTTACAGAAGCAAATGCATCATGCCAGTCTACAAGTAGTGCGAGTGGATAATAAAAGCATAGAATGAAATTAAACTCGATTTAATTCAAAAGTCATTTAAAAATGTATTTCTAATAATCTAGATGGAATAGAAGATGATTATTTACTTACAAACCATTACTAACAGTGATGTGAATATGATGAACTTTTCATGTTACCCCATAATGAAAATTTTCTAGGTCAAAAGCTATGTCATTTCTTTTAAACAAACAGCACTCGGGTACGTGTACAAATAAAATTTTTGTATGCTCATCTTTTCCTTATTTTAAAATCCATTATTTTTATTTGGCATATAATGCACACCTGCAAATTTCAATCTTAATTTTTGTATTAAAAGTGAGCATTATACACCACAATAAATGGTAAATTTTAAGATTATAGGACTTTATATGAACACATTTCTACAGTCAAAAGTCTTTAATCCGGACCTCAAAGCTACAAACATTCTGCGCATGTGTCAACGCATAATGAGTTAACACATGCACATAATACCTTTACGCATGTGCGTTTAATGTATAACACGGACGGTATAAGCTAAAATTATCTAATTATCTATTTCAGTTAATGTTGTAGATTGCGTTGTTCTTTAATCTTCTAATTGGATCCGGCTTATTATTTTTTTGCAGACTAATAGAGCAATTTTATAAAAGTAAACTTGAACTTTTGATTATGTCAAAAAGAATTTCCGATTCTGGAGCTACCAAAGGATCTACAAAAGTGAAAGCATGTTTCGATGTCCATCAAACAAAAAATGGATAAAGGCATATCTTTTGATTCTCTAACCATTCCGAAATATGTTTATCAATTTCACGCTGCTTTGCGGTGGAGGGGGGTGGGGGCGCAATGAACTGGAAGTTGATCTGTCAGCACTATCCTTATCTTCAGGGCAGATGTTTTTATATTATTCAGCTTATAATTCATTGCTAAATGTAGTATTCCGTCTTTGATATGATTTAAATCAAATTCCTCATCATTATAAAAATCACGAGTACACATCAAATAGTTTTCTGGTTGCAATTTTCTAATTTCGACCATTCGTAATGTATGCTTTATGCATGTGTGCGTTGAAAGAAATGTTTAATAAAGTAAACAAATAAATATTAAGCCTTTTTTTTAAAAAAAAAAATTTGATACCCTTTAGATCATAATTGCTCTTTATTTCATAAATTACGGTTTCATATTTTTAATTTTATAATTTCTGCATGCCATCTTCCCAGATTTAAACTGATGATCTATTATCCAGAAAAAACCGATAATCCAGAATCGCCGAAGTCCCGACGAGTCCAAATTAAAGACTTTTGACTGTATATGCTTTTACACTTTGTATATAATCATAAACTTGCATTTAGCACTTGTTTTTCCCATTTTTAAATCGGAACACTTCCCATATTATATCTGTCTTTTATTCACATTACAATGTAAAAAATAAATACAAGAAAACTTCCAAAGGAATTATTCTGAGAATGAAGTAAAAATTACGAAGAACAAATCTGCACAGGTGCTGAAACAGGAAACTAAATTATTAGGGTTATTGGAGGAGTTAAAGCAAAAAGAATCAGCATAATATTCATAAATCTGCAGGATTAGTTTCCAAGGTTTAAGTATTATAGTCTTCTTCTTCAGCTTCAGAAGTGCAAATGAAGGATGCAGAAGAGTCATTCACACTTCTGCAGCTAAGAAGGTTCTACATTTAAACCTTCGAAACAAGTCCTGAAAATTTATGAATATTATGCTGATTCTTGTTGCTTTGACTCATCAATAAACTGTTATTCTGTATGTTATTTTATGTCAAATATTCGGGTTGATTGGTCAGTATATTTAGTGGTACATAATCAAAATATTTATACTGTGTCAAACACACATTATATCAATTTTATTTAGTTAAAAACCATATAATTATAAAACCAATACTAAACTCAACACATAGCCTTGTGTCACACACTTTCATCTCATTATTTAAAAGTATTTGTCAATACACAGCCAATTTTGACTTTAAAAATCCTTACCTTAAAGAAGTTGAGAATGAAATTTACTTATGCATGTTTCCAAAAGTAGTAAGTTATCCATGATTATCTTTCCTTTAAAGAAACCGCTCTGATAAGGTGAGATTATATGATTTTCCAAGAAACAAACTAGGCAACGTTTTACCTTTATTTTAACAGCTTGCATAAACGACTCATAAGTGCAATGGAGAGATAATTCAAGAGATTTTTCAGGTCTTTTCCTGGTTTAGCTATGGAAATGACAATAATTATCTTCCTTGCATTGGGGAAGGTATACTCCTTACAAACTCGATTGTATAAAGTGAAAAGGGTGTGAATTTAAATAATAATCCTTTCATTTTAGTTAAACATTTTGCAGCCATAAACAACTCAACACATTAACCTTGCCCAATCTCGAAAATTTACTTATTTTAAATTGTTGCAGTAAAAAGAGAGCACTGCAACAGCAATCTAGTTAGGCCAAGTAGTGGAAGCAAAGTGTGTTGTATTCAAGACAAAACCTTATTTCAGCTAGTTAATTTCAGTTTTGATACATTTGTGGATATAAATGACAAGGTCCCATCTTTTAAAAAATCTGGGAATACAGTTAATTTATCTTTTTCAGAAATATTTTTTATAACACACCGTGTTCCAAAAAACATTTGTCAACAGATACGTAAAGTATCCAGAAAGTAAGCTTCCCTATTAAAAAAAACACACTTTCAGGAACATATTTAGTGGCAACAAGTACAGCAATGTTTTGACTATTTTTCAACATAACCACCACCAGAACCAAGGCACTTGTTGTATCGTGGTATCAACTTTTGTATCCCTCTGTCGTAGAACTCTGCCGCCTGTGAATGGAACGAGCATGTGACAGACGTCTTCAGCACTTCGTTGTTGCCAAAACGCTCAATGGAGGACAGGAATTTCTTTACAGCCAAATTCCGTCAGAACAGCTGCTCTGCGTCGAGCTGTATGTGGACGAGCATTGTCATGGAGGAGCACAACATCTACAGTAAGCATTCCACGCCTTTTCTTTTGAATGGCTCATCACATTTTCCACAGTGTTTCACAGTAACGGTCAGCATTGTTTCAGCACGTGGAAGGAACTCAATGAGCAGAATGCCCTTTCTGTCCCAGAACACCGTGCACATCACTCTCCGTACCGACAGCCTCTGCTTGAATTTTGACCTGACTGGAGAACCACTATGCCACCAATGCATTGACTGCTGCTTGGTTTCAAATATCGGGTTAGCCATTTTGGCACGTTTATTGCCCATTGAAAAACTATCGCCAAGCAGTGGGCTAAACCGTATTTCAACCTTGGAAATATTTTATCACAAAAAAGTATCAACAGATTGTGGCAGTTTATTGGCAAGTGCTGGGTAGAATTTCATCTTACTGCTTTCTCAACATTGAAAAAGACACAAAAAGGTGCAATTCTAACATCAGTGATATGAATAACATACACCATATATGCCATGACTGATAATTGAAAATGTTCAGCATTTATGCTGTCCCATGCTTTTAAATTTGAATAACTAAATTTGGTCATATAATTCTAGAGTTGGTCATATTATTCTAGAGTATTTGAGCTGCAAACTAAAACTGCTTATGCTCAACTGATTTTAATATAAAAAGTCACTGTCATTTTTATATATAATGTTACATTAACATCCCTAAAACTTATTCTTCAAATATTAATAGTTTTCATACTTAATCTTCCCTATAAAATGCAGTGCAAGTTATTAGATTAATCTGGTGCAGTTTATGATTCACTGACATCAAATGCTCAAAAACTTGTGGTCTGGAAAAGCAACTTTAATCATACTCTGGAAATTTTCTATCTCTCAGTATACTTAAATTTTTTTTATGGTCTTTGATCTAAATAATATCCTAATGAATGAAAGGTTATGAATACTAACAGTAAACTACGTAGTTATACAAATCAAGTAAATAAATACAAACACAGCTGTTAGTCTGTAGCTTGGAGGGGGGGGGGGTTAAGAAGCTACATATTTTGAGAATTCTCTGAAAATTATCATACGCAAGTTTGATTATAAAAATTATTTTCAGATTATATAATTGGCTCATTTGGATTGCTGCAAAGCATATGCGGGCTACTGCCTAGACCATATAATTAATATGTAACATAGGAACTCGAGAATAATGATGACATAAATAAGTAATTTCAAAAATTAAGCTATATATAAAACTGATTACCTTGGAAGCATTTCTTCTAGCTTGTTCTTTCATTAAAAGTGCTTTTGCTCGTTCTGAATAAATGAAAAATGTATTAAGAGTTATAAATGCTGAATTGGGTCAAAATAATATTTAATAAAATACTGAAAATGCCTGCTTGATGAAATATTAATAAAACCCTCAACCATCCCCAGAGATTTGCTGCAGGCAGTCATAAATACAGTACAAAGTCCGAGGTATGGAATCGTCGGGACTTCGGCATTTCTGGATTTTGGATTCTTCCTGATATTAGATCATTAGTATAAATCTAGTAAGATGGTATGTAGAAATTATAAAATTAAAAATATGAATTCGTGATTTATGACATAACGAAGCATTTATGATTTAAAGGCAAAGTTTAATTGTTTAAATTTTGGAAAGGGCATGTGTCAAGAAATTCAACTAACTTGTCAATAATTTGTTTTTTTTTTTTTTTTTTTTTTTTTTTTTTTTTTTTTTGTTTGTTTGTTTTCAATAACCTATCTGTCACTTTCTTCACAATCAGTAGTGATATTTCCTGGATCTAGAACCATACTACAGATTTCGCCATTCATTAACTGATTGGATATAATACATTCGCGGGTGCCCCTTGGTGTAAATTGATGATTTTTGGCAGTACATGGATACCAAGTTTGTGCAATTTTTTTTACTAGTTATTTTGGCTTTGTGTAGTGGCAATTTTTGCACCAAAAATTGATGTTACACAGAGACAAAATAACAAGTCAAAGAATTGCAAAAACTCAGTATCCATGTACACATCAACCTATTTTCACTTGAAGAAACATCAGAGAACTGCACAAACCTGGCATTGTGCACTCCCTAGACTTTGCCCATGTACACATCGATCTATTTTCACTTCAAAAATCAAAGGAGCAGCCAACAAAAAATATATAATTTCTATAAACAACATTTTAAATCAAACAATCAAATGATATAAAAAAGGAAATTCATCTTAGCACTACACAAAGGAAATATCCACTAACCTTACACATTTCTTAACAGCATCCTAAAACTTCCTAAAGTTATCTGAACTATAATCTGTATACTGGCGCCGCCACATAAATTCACAAAGAGTTAAAAAATATCCTCTGTAGTGCCGGGATCCTCCGACACTCGACCATACGTGTTTCCTACCAACAAACAGGAAACTTATAATGGCTACTAAGTAAACCTTCATTAACACACCAGTCCATTAATGCACTTTTCCCCTTTGTTCCAAATCGTACAGAAACTTTAAATTAATCTTACCACATTCAGCCATTTTACCGTCTAAACCACAAAACAGCAACATACTTCCTAACCAACACACACCACAAGCCCTTACAAATCTTTTCCCATTATTCAAATTTACCACAATTGCACAACCAATTATGTCATAATAGGGTTTCCATAACATTCAACTACTTAGGTTACCATAAATAAAACAACAACTTCATGATAATACAAAAGGCACCCTTAAATTTAACCATTGATTAACAATTAGGGCATTGCTATCTCAATGAAAAACTCCAGTTTTATCATCTTCAATTACTACCGTTTGTTCACGGTCCTTTAGAAAATTCATTAATTGGAAAATTTCACCTTCGGTTGGAGATACCCAAAATCCTTCAAATTCACAGCTATCATCTTTATCATCCTCACCATGAAATATGGTAGCTGGCCGTAAAATTATGCCAGACACTTTTTAAAGTATCTTGAGACATATCTTCCCATGATCTTGCAATGCTCCATACAGCATATTTTACACTAAAAGTATTTCAAAAATTCTTGATTAGTCTTGCCATTATTCAAGAAATTTAACATGGATTTTAAAAATGCCACTTTACAGTGTGCAGACTATTTTGATATCCATATGCTGAATGACAGATGTACAATTTGGAGGAAAGAATAAGACGGATACATTATCTTTCACTAAAACTTTAAGTGAAGTATCAGCCAAACAGTTCAATCTACAATTAGGACAATTGTTGCGTCATCAGGTAAACCAATTGAATTCAAATGTTGCTGAGCCTCGGGTATGAAATTATTTTCAAACGAATCATTCATTAATGCTTGTGCCATCCATGTTCTTTCATTTGCACGATACATAACAGAGAAAATCTTTGCTCATTTAAAATGCTCGATGTCATGTATTTTTTCCCGATTATGAAAAGTTTACACTTGACTTACTTGCATCATTTGTGTATGCTAAAATTGTTAGTCTCGCTTCTGAATCGTTGACAGTAAATAGAGCCTTTTCTGTAGAGGTTACCAAGGTACTTTCTGATTTGATTCAGCTTACATATTGTCAGAAAAGATTAGTTTTATCAGCATTGTAAATTAGTTCTAGAGATAACTTTTATCTCTAGAACAAATTTACAATGCTGATAAAACTATTAACGAGTTCAATGATAATACAAGTTCAATGATAATACGAGTTCAATGATAATACACTATTAACGAGTTCAATGAATTTATCTGCAATTTTTCACCTGAAATTTTTAATTGCCTTATACCATGGCAGTTTTTAAAATCAGTTAACCAACTTGTCGAATATATGCACCCAATTTTTAATTTCATTTCTTCATGAAATATTTTGGCTTGAGTCATTAGCATTGATCCTGTCAATGGCATGCCCTCATTGCAACACTTCTGACCCAATCAGTCATCACTGTCATGATAGTCACTTTTAGCATAACGAATATTTTTTCTATTATTCATCGCAAGTGGGATGTTGAAATGCACAAACAATTCAAAAAGTTACTTTTCCTGTTTTCTTACTTTCTTATGTCATGTTATTTCCTCCTCAACATTGACTTTCCAATGGCCTACTCTCATAATTTTGAGACAGAGTATATCTTTATCCATTTTTTACAGCACTTTTTTGCATTTCCTCCCCCTTTTTTTAATAGACATCGTAACAAACTTTCGCTTAGTAGATCATGTTGCAGCTCCAGAATTAAAAACTGTTTTCTACAAAATCGAAAGTTCAAACTTTAATTTTCATGAAATTGCTGTAATATTAACAGCCTGCAAAAAATAATAAGCTGGATCAAATCAGAAAGTTAATGAACAGCATAATCAGCTATATCAACTGAAATACCTTGGAATCACAAAAGTGTAATTTTAGCCCAGCTTAAAAGCATCAGCTATACATTACTGGGCATGGTATCATGAGATTTTATTGTGTACCAAAACAATCAAGCGTCAGTTGTATTATTCTAGTTATTTATTATACTAACATATATTTCTTGCACATGCTTAAGGCTTATCCGAGTCCTGAATAAATAAATTTCCACATATACTCTAACCATTAAATAACCATGTAACTCTAACCATATCTCATAACCACATAACTCTAACTATATACTCTAAGGCTTATGAAGGGCTGGTGCTAGGTATCTTATTGCCTGATGCAATCTCTGTGGGTCCTAAATTTTTCTACCAAGAACCTCCCCAAGTTCTAAATTTTTGCCAAACCTAAATTTTGGGTCCCAGTACTTTTCAACTATATTCTAAAAATTTTGACATCCCTTAATTTGGTTGCTCACTGCTTCTCTAAATTCTAAAAATTTTGTCTTCTCTAAATTTGTCGCCTGGTGCATATGAACTCTGGTGGCAGTTCTGAGTTTATGTGAATAACAAATCAGTTTTTCTCAATTCAAAAAGCCCTAAATGTAACCTTTTGGTCTATGAGTACCATTAACCAAATCTATTTTTAACATGGAAAGAAATTTTCCTTAACTTTTTCTTCGTCAACATTTCTTAGCACATTTAACTTAAATCTGTAATCATCACCAAGTGTAACGTCAATATAAAAGGTTACCATGCACTTTGTTATTCATTTAACATTAAAAAAAAAAAAAAATGTTTGGCATCGCTGCATGAGTCATTACTCAAGTTGTCATGCGTTGATAATCATTCAGTGATAAAAGCAAAATATAATAATGCTTTGCCAGGTTGGTGCCAGGGATATAAAATATAAGTAAGTGTAAAATTGATGATGTTTCTATACAGATTATTTCAGTTTCAGATGTATGCCAAGCAAACATGCACCAGATTATTTATCTCACAAATTTATGCTAAAATAACTGTTTCTTCAATAATGAGGTATTTTATTTAGTGCTGAAGTGAAATTAAGAATCTGGACTCTCCACATGCTTTATGGAGGGGAAAAATTCAAATGTGCATGCAAAAATGTTGTTGGTGGCTTTGAGGTCGGGATTTTAGATCATTCCGGATCTCGGACTTTGTACTGTATATGAACTAGGCAGGATCAACATACATATTCATTAAATTTATGATATAAAAACCAATTTACATTTATCAAGTAGACCATAAAGTAAACTTAATTTGTTTTTATATAACACAAATATGACAGATCTTTACTACATGCATTGCCGTTCTTGTACCACTGAAAAATATTTTGACTAATATTTTTGTTTACATTTTTTTCTAACTGCAGCTTCTGAGTAATATTGCATGAGCTTCAAGCAGATGTAATTGTTTTCTTTACGCTATAGGATTTCTTTTTTATTCATTATATATTCATATTATTATCTATGTTTTGTACAGTTTATGTTTTAGAGAATGGCAATATACTATCTTCTTTTTTTTTAGAGAGTTAGTGTAACTTTGTTTTTTTCTCATTTTAGAGTGTGAATAAAAGAACTATTTAATTATTGTAGAGTCATAAATAACTAAAGAGATATAGATAGTTATTTCCAAGTAATAAATAGTTCTTGAGGTAACAAATTTAGTGAGAATTTTTTAACATTTGGCATCCGCTGGAAGGACTGTTACCTGCAAGTAGAATTCTTTCGTTTATTTATAATGGATGTTTTGAAGTGCAAATGATCTCAATTTAGGAGATTGTTTACAAGAGCTTTAAATGATTTTGAGAATGAAAATGATTTATCTTTAACCTTTTCATGTGGGCTCTAAAAACAGTTGTGTACCTTCACTGGGGGCTCTTGGCTCAGCAGTTATGCAAAGTGGGAAAAATTATCGAATTGAGTCTTGACGACTATGTGATTAGTGCTCTTTTGTTGGGCAG